GGCCGCGCGGTAGACCCGCCTCCCACCCCGGGCCGCGAGCCCCGCCGATTCGCCGGCGCAGCCCCGGGGCTGGCACCCTGCCGCCCGCTGATTGGCGCCCCCGGCCGCCCGTTAGGGCGCGAGGCACGCCGGCCGAGCGCAGCGCTCGGCGCGCACGGAAGACGGGGTGAGCGGAGGAGGGAAGGAAGGAGGCCGAGCACCCGGGAAGGGTCGGGGCGCCAGCGGGGTTCCGAGAGTCGCGGGCCACTACCTCCCCACCTTCTTTCCCTTTGGCCGCCCCGCCCTCCCGGCCGGACCGGCGGCGCGCGCAGCCAATCAGCGCGCGCGGTGCTCGGGGTGTGAGCCGCGCGTCGGGGGCCTCGAATCGGAAGGGAGACGTCGCTCGCTGATTGGTCCCGCCTCCCCCGTAGAGCGTGAGGCGAGGCGCGGCCGGGCGGGAGGGCTGCCGGGCGGCCGAGGATGAGGCGGAGTGGGACGCCCGCGGTTTCGGTTGACTACGTCTGGGGCGCGCTCCCACGAGGCTCTGGGAAGAGAAGGGGAGGGGAGAGATGAGCAGGGGAAGGGAAGGCACGGAACCCGCCGAGCTGCCGACCACCCCTCACTCATCGCCTGGGCCCGGGGCCCCTCCCCGGTCTCCTGCCAGCGCCATTGGGTGGGGCCTGTGGGGGCCGCCGCCTAGTCCACCTTCCGTACTCAAGCCGGGAGTGGACACGTGCTCATCTTTTGAGGGGGCCCGGGGTCCGCCTCGGGGACAGGACGAGATGGGGCAGAAAACGGGTCCGCAGAAACCCGAGGACCCGACCTACCCTGGGCCCGCCCAGAGGCGAATGAGTGGGCGGGGCCCTCGTGGTGGTAAACGGGGCGGGGTCCGAGATGTAAATAAGCCCAAGGAGGGGATTTTTTACGGGGTTTAGGAGCCAGGGTAAGGGATGCCAGGTATTTAGGTAGAACCGGAATCTTGGTTCTGTCTTCGTTAAAAATGGTGCTAGTCATGCATGCTCTGAAAGATCCTTGCGAAGTCTAAAAGATAAGCGCTTAGCACGATGCTCCCTAATTGCTGGGTTATCTTCCCTTCCTCTTCAATTCTCCACTGATGAGGCGATGTTCTTGGGCCCCAACTTCGCACATGTGCGATACAAGGCCCTAAGCTGCTGGCTGTCCAAGGCTGGTGGGTGGGTGTCCGCACTTCGGTAATGTTGTCGCTTGTACCCTACGGACACCCAAGCCTATGCTGAAACACTGAACCCAGCTAATCACATCAAGTATTTATTAAGCACCTACTACGTTTGGTGGGGAGCACCACAGAACCAAAGACGAAAAGGAACAGGTCTTACACGGGTAGTTGGTGCCAGAGCAAGACCGGAACTCGGTTTTCTTGGCTCCATGGCCCGCACTCATCCCCCTCCATCCTTACTTTGTGGCTTCAACGGGGAGCTCAAGACAAACGAGGAAAGAGACACTTGGTAGTGCACATCTGTTTTCTAACAGGCCAGGTGACCATTTCCAACAGCAAGAGTTTTGAACCATACTCTTTCTTTTCAGAAATGAAAGCTTCCCTGAAGAGCGAGCGTGCCTTCAAATGGACTTGGAGAGATAGTTGGCCATTCTCTGTGTCCTGCAGGTTTTCCAGACCATCAAGATGTTCATTTCTCCCACCTCCTCCAATATGGAAGCCCTGGAGTTAAGCAAATTGTAGTTTTGAATGCTGCTGTGTTCCCAATCTGTGAGCTTTGACAAGTGGAATTCACCTGCAATGGTGGCTCTTTAAAAATAGTTACGCGATGGGGCGCTTGGGTGGCTCGGTCAGTTAAGCGTCCGACTTCGGCTCAGGTCATGATCTCACGGTCTGTGAGTTCGAGCCCCGCTTAGGGCTCTGTGCTGACAGCTCAGAGCCTGGAGCCTGTTTCGGATTCTGTGTCTCCCTCTCTCTCTGCCCCTCCCCTGTTCATGCTCTCTCTCTGTCTCAAAAATAAATAAACGTTAAAAAAAATTTTTTTAAATAAAAATAGTTACGTGGTGATTCAATAAAATAAATATGACTATGAAGAGCATAGGGCTTTGAAGTGGAAGGAAAGTCAATAGTCGTTATCATTTCTTCCCTTCTGTTGCCTTCATGCGTTTGTACTAAGATGAACGTACTCGGCAGAAATTCTTCACAAGTTTACCTCCAGGGTGGATTCTACCATTGTCAGTTTAGAGACAGCTATATTCACCCCTTTTAAAAATTAGCTTGTGAAGGAGACCCGGGAAGCCAATTGGTGGAGCTGTTCCACCTCCTAAGATTTCTATTTCCACTTCCCAGAGACATCAGGGAGGATAGTCTAGGGCAAAGGCTGTTCCATTTAGAAGTAGGAAGGCTGTTTTTGATTTTTGGTTCTTCTTCCTGCTAACACAAGCCAACTGTTTTAATATGAAATAACTTATAAAAAGCTACCCTGGGTCACACAAATATGTTCTCCTTTGTGACCCGGATGTGCACTTGGGTGTCCACGTGGGAGAGTGGGAGTAGAAACAAAAGCAAGGGTGGCTGGGATTCCAGAAGAATCTGCTCCCAATATGGGAGTTAGGTGCTTTGGGGTACATTAAGTAAATGGGTAATATGCTTGAGGTCTACATTAGACCATCTCTCCGAAGTGTCAGAATCTGGGTTCCTAACTCTTCCCTTTAGGAAGCTTTTCAGGACCTCTGGGATTGAGGAAAGGGGAGGAGGGGAAACCCGACTACAATGATGTCCCCAAAGGGCTTAGAAGGGGGAGCATGCCTGCTGTCCCCTCTGCTAGAAATGCATCTAAACTAAAGGGGGTCAAGACAGAAACTAAAGGCAGATGGAGCAGAGATTGTCGTGGCAACAACCAGCTTGGAAATCCACTGGGGTACCTCAAGACAGACCTAACAGTAGGTCCCTATTGTATAAATTGTATTGAGTCCTATTTTTATGTGGATAGACGTTGCAAAATCAATTCAGGGGCATCTAGGTGGCTCAGGCGGTTAAGCATCTAACTCTTGGTTTGAGCTCCCGTCATGATCTCACGGTCCATGGGTTCAAGCCCCACATTGAGCTCTGTGCTGACGGCACGGAGCCTTCGTGGGGTTCTCTTTCCCTCTCTCTCTCTCTCTCTGGCCCTCCCCTGGTCTCTCGCTCTCTCAAAATAAATAAACTTTAAAAAAATCAATTCAGAAGCAATTTAAAAGTAGTTAAATGTGTTGGAAAGACACAGAAGACAAATAGTAATGGTGGTTGCTTTTGGAAAGAGATCTGTGGAGTCACAAGTTGAAAAACTTAGATTTCATCATTAATTCTTAGGCAGTTTGAGTTTTTTAAAAATCTGTCCTTTTGCTAATATTTCAAAAGATATAACTCCTATTCCATCTCCTCTGATAAATCTATAAAACCCTTCCTGGTTACTCCAGCCCAAAGGATATCACTCACCTCTGAATTTTGTCTCGTAGTCAAAATGATTTACATACCATGACTTCGCTTTGATTAATGCCTTGATCAGTTAGTTTAGTCTTGAGCAGTTTTTTAACTTTTCATGTGTATGTTTTGTCTCCCCCGTGTAGATTGTAAATTCCTGAAGGACAAGGACAGCATCTTGTTCTCAGTTGTCTTCCCACACTCGGAGATAAAAAAAAAAAAAAAAAAAAAAAAAGACTAAGTAATTGAAAAAAGGTGAAATAGAGCATTTGTGTAGCAGGAATATGCTCTGTGTGTGTCAAAGGTCTGCAGGCATTCTGCACAGCTTTGTCCAATCTACTGAGTTGCCCTTGACACAACTCTTGAGTATCCTATCAGCATCCAGTCTGTATACTCGCTCATCCTGGTGGAACGCAATTGCAGCAAGCTTACTACCTCTTAAAGAAAGATCCAGTCATTTACAACTAAAAGGACACCGATTAAATGAGATAACCTAAGTAGAAATTGTAAGGAACAGAGGTATGGTGTCACTTTTGTTGCAAATGACGATGAAGAAATCTGACACCAGCTGGATTTTTATCTCAATATGACAAAATAGCACTTTTTGAAATGAAATTTTAAATGAATTTTTAAACGAATTCATGCTGAAGATGTGTACCTGCCGCTGTGTACACACAGTCTTTATTCACATGCTAGTTTTTATCAAAAATAATAAAAATTTAACATCTGATGGAAATGCTGGAGAATAAAGTATGTATAAGAAAAAAGAATTAAGTTTGGCATTTATCTGGTGTCTGCTATGTGCCTATCATACAAGCATGGTGGAAAATTCTCATTTTATGGCCAACATTTCTCAAGAAAAGAAGACATTTGTTTAGGGTTTCTTAGATTTGAAGGGAGAAAGTATTTGAGAAGTTGGCACTGGTTGAGAAAAACATTCAGTGAAAATTAAAAACGTATGTCTCATCGTTCTCCAGGCATCTGATAATTAATATATTTCTTATCTATACATTTAAAAGTGTAAATAATCATTGGATCAATTGATTATTGGATAGCTAATCTAATGACTGCTCAAATATTACTTGGTAAATTATAAAACCGTTTTGATGCAATGAGCATGCCCATAAAGGCATTTAAA